CTGTTGTTGTATGAGTCTGTTGTTGTATCACACTCTGTTGTTGTATGACACTGTTGTTGTATGACAGTCTGATGTTGTATGACAGTCTGATGTTGTATGACAGTCTGATGTTGTATGACACTCTGTTGTTGTATGACACTCTGTTGTTGTATGACACTCTGTTGTTGTATGACACTCTGATGTTGTATGACACTCTGTTGTTGTATGACACTCTGTTGTTGAAAGACACTCTGTTGTTGTATGACAGTCTGTTGTTGTATGACAGTCTGATGTTGTATGACACTCTGTTGTTGTACGAGTCTGTTGTTGTATGACACTGTTGTTGTATGACACTCTGTTGTTGTATGACACTCTGTTGTTGTATGACAGTCTGATGTTGTATGACAGTCTGATGTTGTATGACACTCTGTTGTTGTATGACACTCTGTTGTTGTATGACACTCTGTTGTTCTTAATGTTCTTCATTTTATGAAGAATCCTTCTTTGTACAATCATCTCCAAAGGTTCTAGAGGAATGCTAAAAGTAGTAAAACTGCTAATGCTAAAATTAGCTACATTGTTGCTAAATGCTCAAATAAGCAGTTAAAAGATAAATTTGCTAAACTGTAGCAAAACGCTAAATATAGCAAAATGCTTGCTTAAAGCTAATAGCATAAAAAAATTGTCCAAGTCTGCTGAAGAGAACGTTTGTGAAGGATTTGAACAGTTCGGATGTGTTCCTAAAGAAAACTTTATTTCAAAATAAAGGCACATCTTTGGAAAAGTACAAAAGGTACAACAACCAAAAGTCACGGGTCGCTGCCGACTGAGCTGAACACTGAGTGTGAGTGGTTCAAGCAACAGTGCGAGCGTTCACACAGCTCCATTGGGACAGTCTGCTCACAACAGGACCCATGTTTAAAGTTCACGTAAAGAACCACAATGGAAGGATTTTTGAAGTTTTACATTGTTGTGTCAACCTTCCTGCTCAGACAGGTAACTCTTCTTTATTAGGGCTGCTTCATTTTTTACATTTCACACTTAGTCTTCTCTAAACATGAATTGCCAGACGTCCTCGTCAGTTGCTGCCTCTTTGACGCTCCAGTAAAACACTGGCTGTAACGTCCTGTCGTCTGGAAGTAGAAAAAGATCAACTCTTTCTTGTTCACGTATTCAACCATTGTCTGATTCAAACAAACAACAACAACTCACTGCTTGCACAGATCAGTATGGATAATATTGTGAATGTTCCAAATGTTTGAGTTTGTGAGTCATTGTAAACTTTTCAAACATTCTGCAGAGCAAGAGGTCAGCTCTTGGAAGCAACATGAAGCAAGTTATGGCAGGTTTAAAACTTGTACTAACTACTCTCTGTGTGTTTTTAACTCACGCTGCCCTTTAAGAAAATCAAACTCCTTTATTTTTAGAAAATTAGTACAGTCTGCAAGCACAGATGTTTTCAACACGACTGTTATTAGGCAAATATTAACACAACGTAACCATGAAAACAAAGACGCACTCGTCCATTCACCTTGCACGTCGTGCATGCTGACAGCGTGATCACGCGTGCGTCGCAGCCACGGAGCTGCAACTTCCTGTTTGTCGTCCGCTGCTGTAGGCAGACGTTCCTTTTACCTGTGTGTGTTTCTTGTGTGTACTGTTACAAAGTTTCTCATAAACCCCTGAGAACTTCACTCACAGTAATAATCTGATGCATGTCTACAAGGAATTAAAGTTTGGAAATAATCCCATTCAAGATTGACGCCACAGCTAAACAACCTTAGTTCAGTTTGTGCATCCGTCAGGATCCTCCCTGCAGGTGTGCAGATAAATTAGTCTCAGAAGTACACAACACACAAGGATGCAACACAATTTGTGTGTACAATAAGATCCACAAGACTCATGAACGCATAAACATTTTCCAAATGTACTTCCTGTTACTGTCTTCAGAGTCTTCCTCACTGCTCCAGATTAAATGAAGACTAACCTGCTTATTTTAGGTCGTTTAGTTAATCCAGTATCGTCAATGTAAGAGTTTGTGTTTAATACAGATGTTATGGGCTAATGTGTATTGTCACAACAACTCCGTAAATCTGGTAAAGCTCAGATGTCCCAGCTTTTCATCAGCCTTGAACGCAGCATTACCTTTGGATCTGGAGCGGTACAAAGTCTCTGATTCGTTCACATGTATTTGACCACTTGTATATGCAGAATATTCCTACATGTGCAATTTGAAATGTGTACATGTGAAAAACTCTTCATGCATTTTGTAAATCATGGTGCACTGGTGGTGAATTGTGGGACACGTGTGGACCTTCTTGTGCACACACCATTCTTGTTGTGTGTTGGTGTGAATGCTCCTGAGACTAATTTCTCTTCATGCTGCAGCTACAGCTGCTGCGTCCTGCAGAGAAAACACATCTGGATAAACAAGCTAAAAAGTAGCTTTAGTTCCTTTTATACGAGTCCTTGCTGGTGCCTGGTTGTTCTCAAACCGTCCACGCAGTGCTGTGTTTTCAGACCGCACCGGACCCTGAACCGTTCCCCTCAGCTTCATGACAGATGGCTGGACGTTGACAGGTTATGCTGTGGAAGCAACGTGAGAGTCTGAAGCTCCCGCCAGAGACAAACCTGAACCCTGGTTCATCTCAGTTCATTAGAATATCATTGAAAATGAACTTGTTCCAGTAATTCAGTTTAACAAGTGACAGACACTTCAAGTGTTCCTTTCTGTTGACTGGGACGACTGCGGCGCGCAGTCAATGGTTTAAGATGTTTCTGAGTGTGAAAATGGGTTTTCATGTTATTTTCCTGCTCTGGTCTTTCTGTTAAAGTCTCTGTGACTGGCTGACTGACACCATGAGTCAGAGACTGTTGCTGGTAAGTGCTATGTGTTCTCTGCATTTAACCCATCACACCTGGGATACACCCAGTCATACCCAGGTGGAGCAGTGGGCAGCTGTGTTGGTGCTCGGGGAGCAGTTAGGGATTGGGTGTCTTGCTCAGAGACACCACGGTCAAACCGCGACTTACTGATCCCAAGTTGGCTGCCCTACCTCTACCCCGTCTGGACCCCCTAGATATGGGTGTGTGTGTGCTGTGAGGGTGCTGGTGTCACTGGGTGGCAGCTCTGCTCTGTGTGAGTCACCGTTCTCCTGGTCCCCTCTAGAGCCGACAGTCTGCACAAACGAACAGTCGGACTTCAATTTACCTGATTTGAATTTAGCCAAAGCTAATTCCGCTAAAGGTTTTCAAAGGTAGCGAAAACGCTAATCCACTAAATGGAAAGTTTTTTTTATTAGCAGAACCGTGTGCACCACTGGACAGATGTTTCAGTAGGCCAACAGTTCTGACTCTTTTATTTGGTCCTATGCAATATTTAATATCTGAGAAACTGAATTCTGGTTTTCATCAGCTCTAATCATCCAGATTACTTTCCATTTTTTACACTGAATTACTGAATGAACTTTCTAATGACATTCTAATAAACTGAGCTGTGCCTGTATAATGAACATTTCACTCTTGTTAAGCTCCACAACAGGAACCACTGACAGTCTGAAAGCTGCTCCAGGTACTGAATCCACCCACAGCGTCCTGCTGAGGCTGCACAGCTGACCTTGTACTGGACCCGAGCACACCGAGACGTGCTTCCTGTGGACCGTCAGTCAGACCGCCTGTCACACGTCACAGATGAGCATTTTGTGGGGCCGTTTTGGGTCGGTGCCGAAGGCGGACTGGAAGCTCTTCATCCTGTTTAAAGAGATGATGACAATAATTTCAGCTTTTGTATTTTCTTCATTTTGTCAAAGTGTCCACAGAAAGACATGTGTCTAATCCGTGGACGCTGAGCGTTACACACAGTTTCAGCAGTGTCTGCAGTCTCCTCTCCCTCTGTGTGCTCACTGCCAGGAGTGAAGGCCTCCAGGTCAGACAGAGCACTCTCCACCGCCTCTTCATCGTAGTCAGTCTGATACTCATCAGACAGTTCCTCTGAAGGCAACAAGAGAGCCGTCACAAAACAGAACACGTGAGACTAAACCTCATAACAAGTAGAAGAAGAGCTGACTGACCGTCGATCACCGCGTTCTTCACAGGTTCAATTCTCGACACGATCTCTGCCAGGTCAGTGAAGGAGGCGTTTGGACATGTGACCACCTGAAGAACACAATTATTCCTGAGAGTTTAACCATCACTGGTGTCGTGACTCACCCTGCAGGCTGCAAACACGTGTCAGATGTCACCTGCTGCACGAGTTTGTCCAAACATCTGCCAACACCTGACTGTAAACATGAGCTCACTGAAACATGGACGTCTGACCAGCAGCAGGAGCTTCTGCTTAGATTTCATCTGATGCAGGTCCGTCCATCCGTCCTTTGTTCTCAACTCGGGTATCGGGGGCAGCATCTTGAGCAGGGAGGTCCAGACATCTCTTTCCACAGTCACCTCTTCCAGTTCTTCTGGGAGGACTCCAAGATGTTCTCAGGCCAGCTGAGAGACATAGTCTCTCCAGCGTGTCCTGCGTCTTCCCTGGGGTCTCCTCCCAGTTGGACATGTCTGAAGCACCTCCCTAGGGAGGCGTCCAGGAAGTATCCTTACCAGATGAACCACCTCAACTGGCTCCTCTCGATGTGGAGGAGCAGCAGTTCTACTCAGAGTCTCTCCCGATAACTGAACTTCTCACTCTGTCTCTAAGGGAGAGTCTCCATCCTGCAGAGGAAACTCATTTCAACCTCCTGTATCCACGATCTCATTCTTTCTGTCACTACCCAGAGCTTGTGACCAGAGGTGAGGGTAGGAACGTAGATCAACCAGTAAACAGAGAACTTTCTTACAGCTCAGCTCTCTCTTCACCACAATGGACCGGCACAGAGTCTACAATACTGCAGACGCTGCACCAATCCATCGGTCAATCTCACGCTCCATTCTTCCTTCACTCGTGAACAAAACCCAGAGATACTTGAACTCCTCCACTTGAGACAGAACCTCACCCTCGACTTGAAGAGAACAATCACATTTATTCTTTAAAATAACTCTTTACAAGTACTTAAAGCCTCATTTAGTTTATTTGATCTGAAGTCATTTGTGCTGATCATTTACCTATAAACAAACTGAAACTACCTCAGTTCCAATTTGGATGGCAACAAAATGGATAGAACACCAGGGTTTGTATTTGTGAAGCAGCAGCCACTCACATGACCAGCTTTAGTCTTGTGAAACTCCTCCTGATGTCTGTCCCTCAGCATGCTGTCCACCACGCCGCTGCGGTGCCACACATCGAACAGAGTCTTCCCATGCTGGTATCCCACCTCCTGCACAGGCAGCCGGGGACAGTCAACAAGTTTAAAAAAAGAATCAGTATAAACTTTATTATCACTGCACCGAGATACAACGAGAACTTGTACAAACCGGGTTCCAAAAAAGTTGGGACACTAAACAAATTGTGAATAAAAACTGAATGCAATGATGTGGAGGTGCCAACATCTAATATTTTATTCAGAATAGAACACAAATCACAGATCAAAAGTTTAAACTGAGAGAATGTATCATTTTAAGGGAAAAATCTGTTGTTTCCAAATTTCATGGCGTCAACAAATCCCAAAAAAGTTGGGACAAGTCCATTTTTACCACTGTGTGGCATCCCCCCTTCTTCTTACAACACTCAACAGACGTCTGGGGACAGAGGAGACCAGTTTCTCCAGTTTAGAAATAGGAATGCTCTCCCATTCATGTCTAATACAGGCCTCTAACTGTTCAATCGTCTTGGGCCTTCTTTGTCGCACCTTCCTCTTTATGATGTCTTTATGAGGTCTTCCAGCTGTTCATTATATGCTCAATTTCCTTTTTCCAGCCACTTATTGCTACTTGTCCCAACTTTTTTGGGATTTGTTGACACTGTGAAATTTTGAATCAGCATATTTTTCCTTAAAATGTTACATTTACTCAGATTAAACTTTTGATCTGTCATCTGTGTTATATTATGAATAAAATATTGACATTTGCCATCTCCACATCATTGCATTCAGTTTTTATTCACAAGTTGTTTAGTGTCCCAACTTTTTTGGAATCCGGTTTGTACGTACAGTCGTCCGAAAGATGGGCGGAGTACACGAAGCTGCTTCTATAAAAAGCGCGGCCCTCTTATTCTTATTCAGAATAATATTTTGCTTAGATGAGAAAAGGGAAGAAAACATGAGGAGAGACGGTATAAAAAAAGATCTCTCACTTTGTGTCCTAGACAGGGCACGATTTGAGGCATCAAAAAAACCTACCACAGCAAAGCAACATAAACAGACGTTACACATGTACATATAGATGTTACACATGTACATATAGATGTTACACATGTACATATAGATGTTATACATGTACATATAGATGTTATACATGTACATATAGATGTTACACATGTACATATAGATGTTATACATGTACATATAGATGTTATACATGTACATATAGATGTTATACATGTACGTATAGATGTTATACATGTACATATAGATGTTATACATGTACATATAGATGTTATACATGTACATATAGATGTTACACATGTACATATAGATGTTACACATGTACATATAGATGTTACACATGTACATATAGATGTTACACATGTACATATAGATGTTATACATGTACATGTAGATGTTACACATGTACATGTAGATGTTACACATGTACATATAGATGTTATACATGTACATATAGAT